TTTGCATGGAAATCTCACTGAAACAATCTTTATGATGCAACCACCCGGGTTCAAAGACTTATCAAAGCCAAATCATCTGTGTCGACTCAGAAAGGCAATTTATGGGCTAAAACAAGCCCCTAGGGCCTGGTATACAGCCCTAAAAAATGCTCTTGTAGACCTTGGTTTTCAGAACTCAAGAGCAGATTCCTCACTGTTTATCTACAAGAAGGGCTCTATTACTTGTTATTTCTTGGTGTATGTGGATGACCTTGTTCTTACAAGGAACGACTCCAAGTTGGTGGATTCAATCATTAATCAGCTAAGTCAGAGGTTCTCAATCAAAGACATGGGAAATCTACACTTCTTTTTAGGAGTGGAAGTCATCCCCACAAGGGCTGGTATTTTTTTGTCACAGCACAAGTATGTGCGTGAGTTGCTGTCCAACACCAACATGCAAGGCGCCAACGATGTTTCCACTTCCGTTTCTACAACCACCTCTCTCCAATTAATTGATGGCACTGCAGCTGTGGATAGCACAGAATTCCGACGTATCGTTGGAAGTCTTCAGTACTTATCTTTAACATGCCCGGATATCTCTTTTGCCGTCAATAAATTATCTCAATTCATGCACAAGCCAACAACCAATCATTTGACAGCAGCAAAGCGACTTCTTCACTATCTAAAGAAAACAATTTTTCACGGCATTCAGATTACAAAAAGTCCACATTCAGATTTAACAACATACTCCGATGCCGATTGGGCAGGAAATTTTGATGACCGTACATCCACATCGGCATATATCAGCTTTCTTGGAACCAACCCAATTTCTTGGAGCTCCAAGAAACAAAGAGCTGTGGCCAGATCAACTACAGAAGTTGAGTATGGCGCTCTAGCAAACGCCACAGCTGAAACGATGTGGATTATTTCACTTCTTCATGAGCTCAGGTATCCACCTCAAAAATCCCCCTTATTGTTATGTGATAATCTTGGAGCGAATCATTTAAGTTTCAATCCAGTGCAACACTCCAGGATGAAACATATACAAATTGACCTGCATTTTGTGCGAGATTTGGTTCAAAGGGGTATACATCAAGTTAGGCATGTACACACTCAAGACCAACTTGCTGATCTGTTAACAAAACCCTTGTCCAGACAAAGAACAGAATTGCTGAGGAACAAGATTGGCAGTGCCGATGGAAGCTCAATCTTGCGAGGGCATATAACAGATGATCAAGACAAAAGTCAAACACAAAATTTAAGCCACAAATCATGCTGAAAATAATCATCCGAAATCAGTCTTTCTAAAATTATTGTTTCTGTAATC